TAATGAAGGAGGAAACTATTTTGTTTTCTCAACTTTTTGCCAGCATGTTGGGAATACATATCTTTGTTTCTTCTTTTCACTGGACAGACACAACAATTTTAAGTATACATGTGTATTTTTACCAGGACTTTCAACAAAATTCATTTATAATAAAAATTACACTTTCCTTGTTTGTAAAATCACCAAATCAAATATCCATAAACTTTCTGGGATGTTCCATTTATGCTGCACTTAAAATTTTATCAGAACAGCATTATTTTTCATATTTGAAAATTGGAGCCTACTGAAGCAACTCGACGTACACCTTACTATAGGAATTTAATACTGTAATACTTACTGTAATTAATTGTTTGCAAAGTTGAATCTGGATTTATTCAGAAACTTGAAATGGGAGTAATTCTCTTACACCGTAATGGTCCTTTGTAAAATATAAAACATTTTTTTCATATAATCTCAATATCACATCACAACTGTTGACAAAAATACTTTATAAAAGAAAGAAAAGAAGCGACATGATTTAATAATGATAAGCAATTATTGGAATTAAAACATATTTGATCATGTAAATACCCTGACTGAACTTAACTGATGTACTGGTGATATGGTACTGGTATTGTCAATTAAAAGACAATACTGGCCATAATAGAGCATACTATACACAAAAAAGATAGTGCCTTTAACTTTATTGAACATGCTTTGAGTACAGATCATTTTCAAATCAATCAACTCTTGAATCTTAATAGTAAATTTACCAATAGCACTCAAGGAACCTTAAGTAAAAAGATCAGGTTAGAATAAGAAAACAGTAGAGATGCACTGATTTGTTTCTAACATGTCACTACTCTAATAACATGTTCTGAGGAATGTTTACCAAACATTTTATTACTGTCTATATTTTGCAATGCATTATACTCAAATGAGTAAACTTTTTTTGGCAGTTAAAAATACATTCAAATAAATTCTATTATTCCAGCAAAATCATTATTAATTTTAAAGTAGTTCACGATGCTGTAATGTAATAGCAAACATCTCCAAGAAACTATTCACAAATGTTAACAGGAACTTTAACAACCAAAAAGCAGAGGTATTCATTTCTCAGAATTTTGCATGAAATCTCAATTAGTTTTCAAGATCAATCACAAATGAAGAAAAGTACACAAACATCAAGTTTTTTTCTTGTTCTGAATGTGATATTAAATACTAAATAAATAATTCACAAAAATAATTATTTTATACAAATTAAACAGTACTATTGACAATGTTAGTACCAATCCAATTACTGAAAATGTGTATGAGTAATAATTAATAATAATTTGTAGTCCCTAACGATGTATTTTGAGGAATGTCAGCAATACACATCAATTCTCTCATAACTGAGGTTTTCAAAATAACAAAGTTAGTTACCCTGAGAATTAAAAAAAAAAAAAGTTTTCCAGAAAATCATGTTCAACAAGTCTCTCAAGAAAAATTCAGTTCAATGTAATTACTAAGACATTTCACTTAAAAAAATACTTTTTTCATTGACAAGACTTACGAAGTTTTGTACTACCTTAATAGCTAGGTAAAGATAAAACTGATAAATTTAATAAGTCTTGTTTTACTATCACCATCTGACAAGCCACATCTAAGTTCCAGAGCATTTAACCAGAAGAGAGTTATATACTTCTGAAAGGTTTAGTGAATCTATATTTCTTACCACTTACCTCCCCTTATTTGATCTTCACTTACCTCTCAGAAATGCACAATCCTAGGACACATGATAGAAAGATAACAAAATGTTATTTTCACATTCTAATTTAGCTTTAATTATTTGCCTGCATTTCTGAATTTTAACTAATAATGTAGTTAGATATATGCTCTAAAATTACACAACACAAATTTCATTGCAAGATATACCAAAAATTTAATTTATGAATAGCAAACAACAAAAAAATTATATGAAACACAAGTCATAAATTTGATATGTACTATATCATTTCAGTGGCTAAGATTGTAAGCTTGCATTGTATAGGTGGATACAGAATGACTTTTGAAAAATACCCTTCAACAAACATAACTTAAGGTATTTTAATGAAGAAAGGATACGTTCATAAGAGCAAGTAAGTTTAATTAATAAGTCGGATGAAACACATTTACCACAGCATTCACGGCAAAGGTACTGAAAAAACTATTCCATACATTTCTTCATTTACTATACGAAATAATTTTATAATGACAATTCCAATTAGGTTTCACATCAAGTTAGAATCACATCTTAACTTGATTTGTGTGTGAAATATGAAACTGTAAATGAGATATTAGGGAAATATATTTTAATGCTAAGAATAGAAAACATTTAATTGGACAAAAATTATATGTTAATGTGCAATATTTGGCAATGCAATTTTAATCATTCCTAGCTAACTTAAAAAAAAAGTAATTAAGATTCAAGTACTAGTGAAGCTTTTAATAAATTAAAAATTAGAAAATTCTCTTTACATCAATACTTTGTAATATGATTTAGAAATTTTACGCAATATTACCTTAGGGAAAATTTATTTATGTTGTACTAGAAGCATTACTTAAAAATTGTTTGTTTTTATTTAATGGTTTTATAGTTTTATTTTAATTTAAATTTTATTTATTCAAAATGACAATGGTGCTTTCTCTTGTTCATTATGCACCACTACTTGTTTTGTTACTTATTAATGTACAAAGGAAAGTGACTGGGATTTTTCTAGATATATAGTGTTTCCTTCATTTTTAAGTGACCCAGTTGGTCCATATTTGTTATCTAATAAATGTATTTAAAGGACAAATATTTATGTGGGTGAACTCAAAAGGGATTTTTAGAAAACAATTTAACACTATCTCAGCATTTCCTATTTTTCGATTTTTTGCTATTGACAAACAATCAATCTATCATGTAACATTCAATCTTCATTTCCTGGCTTCATTACATTCTATCTTCATTCATAATCAAGGCTTAACAGTTAAATTCATCATCAAAAAACTTAATATTCCAAAAAAAGAAAAGAAACTGAAGTAAAAAAATCAAAGAATAACTTGGTAGTGCAAGAATATTCAATTAGCACTAATGGTAAATGATCTGCATAAAAATACACTGAATTATTGAATATTACCTCTAAATTTATTGTAATGGAAGAGATAATGGGCAATAGTAAAACTGTTTTAATAGGTTTAGGTAACTGTCAGGGTGGAAAGAAGTGACAAAATTGCTTGAATATAATCGTTACCTGAATCATCAGACACATACTTGATATGTTTATGAAATTACTTGAATTGTATTACATTTGTATGAAATGTATGATCAGGATGTTGGAAGTAATAATCATTTCACTAGTTAACTAGTACACTGTCATTCAACCACACCATACAATACAAGTTTACATATCTTGTAAATTGTCATACATGTTTACATATGGCACCTGTGCCCAAAGTGTCTTGTTCATTTTTTTATTTTGTGCTTGTATTACAAAACTTATAACAATTTCCAGTTTCAGTTTCATTTAAGTCACAATGCCATTAATGTGAAAACAATAATAAAATAAAAGGTGACAATAAATGATGACATTTACGGCATGAGACCATACGCTAAGTTTCTTCACAATACAGCTAAAATATGTTCAGTAAAAGGAAGCTCGAAAGAATGCATACGAATATTTGTACCATTAAGAATAATTCACAAATATTACTTCATACTAAGGAGGAAAATATACAATGAAAAGATTTAAGAGATCAATATCAATTCCACACATTCAAGTGCAGAATAGGCTAAAACATTGTTCACAGTCTGTAAATAGCATTTGAAGTGCAACACTTATGCCAACATCAAAAGAATTAATTCATTCATCTCGCAACACTTCTACACATGATCATATGCCATATGTATCAATGGATATTCACTATATATATGCAATATATTGGTCCGAGTATATGCTTTATTTAGGATGAATTGCTTTTGCCTTCGTAGAAATGGAACATTTACTTTCAATAAAACAACATATGATGCCAGAAATAATTAAGCAAAGTTAAGAGTTACGTGGAAACTTTTCACAAAAAAATTAGTTTAAGATACAAAGCTTCTTTTTTTTATTAATTCAAGAACTCCACAGTTGTAAGACCTTCAAAAGTACTTCATATTACTACGTGAATGTGAATATATCTATCAAATTATTGAATATATCCAATTTGATAAGTCATAATTTATTATTATTACTATTATTATCATTGGGTACTTAAGTATATGCGGAGTTCACAAAATCATTCAATTTCCTCAATGATTCATTCTAGAAAATCACGGTAGTGATAGAAACATAATGTATTTAGCAGAAATGTTTAGTTTTGAAATTAAATATCAAAATATTTTCTGAAATATTTGTGTATAAACCACTTCTATTCAAAATATAAACATTATACTTTAAGCATTCTAATACAATTGATAAACCTAGCAATATTTACTCAGAAGTAAATACAAAATGATTCAAGTTGAATTATTTTTCACTGTTTTGTTAAGATCCTGGAAAACCCAACCTTGTTCAAACAGATGTAATTGTGAATGATTTTCTTTAGTTACTTTCTATCACATTTATCTATGTAGTACGATATTTTGTACTGGGTACTAGTAAAGTCATAATAAATAATTATTTTGTTGTATATTAACATCTTTAAGAATATAAATCCATTAAGAATGAATTCTTCCCCTCACTATTACATTTAATTTTTGGTTATATATTAAATTAACATGCTAGGATTTACAAGGTTTATATATTCATTTTATCATGTTTGCAATACGTGGAATGATATGTGAAAACAATCAGAACTAAGTTAAGAAAAGTTTTCTTTAACTATTTACTCTACTCATTTTCTCATAATAAGCCACATATTGCAAACAAGATGTTAAAATCAACATGTTGACTTTTCTCTCTTGTTTAAGGCCTATCATTAGAACACAATGAAATGGAATGTCCAAACATTCAAATATTGTTGGAAACATTGTAAATCTTAGTACGTTACTGTAAAACAAAACCAGAAGATAAATAGTCTCAAAAAAATATTTGGTAGTTTATATAATGTCAATAGTTATTTTAAATTACGAAAAATAACAAAGCAAAAGTCCAATTAATGCACAATAAACTATTCACTTTGTCATAATCTTTTGTTTCTTGTATTTATATAAGTTACCAATAAATTATTATATGCATTTAAAATGTACAAGCTTTTGGAGATCTGTCACAATAAATGAAAAAACATACTGAAATTTGGTTCAAATCCAGACACTGAATAACATAAGAACACTGAAAAAATGGAAGTTTATGTGAAACAAATTAAAAGAGTGCACCCCATTCTTCTAGTTTCAATTCCTGTGAAGATACGCAACACAAATTACTATCTTTGGGGAAATTCTTGGTTCATAATACTGCTCCCTAATATTGGTGAATACAGATTGTAAAACCTACTGAAGTTATTGCTGTGAAATATATATTGATCTACTTTTAAAGGCACTTTGCTTACAAGTATGCTGGTAAATAACATTTTGTACTCTTGGCTTCAGTGGAGGATTGCTTACAAGAATAAATGCACAAAGCAGCATGCAGTTTCAAAAAGAGGATTATGCAAAATATGCTACATGTACGATAATGTAATTACTTATAAAAGAAAATGTCATATTTTCATATTAACTATGATCCTTTGCATTGTCCATTGATGATTAAACAATACTTTTGTAGTTTATAACATTAAACTCTGCATACTGAAGAAACATAAATCATTGTGCTTCGGAGTGACCTTTCCTTCAACAATATTGTCCTATAATTTTAATGAATGTAGCATTTCTTATCTTTAACTTCTGTATGGTTTATAAAGTTTTATCTTTATGAAGCTGAAATTACTTATTCCAAAGTTTTTTAGTAACATAAAGCTAATTAGTGCTTCAGGTTTTCTATCATCAAAAACTCATTTTTTTTAACATTATATGACAATCATTATTCTTCATTTGAATTTTATACACAAACCAATGTCATTCCCTCTCTCAGTAATCTTAAGAAACTTAAGTAAAGAAGTAATTTAAGTGCAATAATCTGCAATCCTACCCTTTAGATGTGTAATATTTACTCACATGCGTAACTTTCAATAGTTACATTTAAATAGGACTTCAAATGTTCAAATCTCACACTGATAAAATTGAGGTAAAAATAAATTTATAAGAACACAATCAACCAGAAAACAGAAAATGAATGTTTAATGCACACCCTTGCCAGAAAACAAAGAAAATTGTTATTGCCATTTGACATGAAATAATGGTTTTGCAGTAAGAGACAACTCAGAAATTAATAAAGCAAATAAGTGCGAGAAAAGACTGATTCCTTAAAAATGCAAATTCATAGCAGAAACTTAAATTTATTTGGCAATCATTTAGAAATGTATTTTGATTAAGGCTATTTCATACGGACATTTTCCAAGAATATTTCCAGTACATTTCTTATCTTGGTTCAGAAAAAATTTAATACATGTAATAGTCACATACCAATGCCATTCAGGAGTCCACACAACACCCTCTGGGGGCAGGTGGGGAAGAGGAGAGGAGGTCAATGGCAGAGCACAGAATATACCATCAAACAATTGAAGGAACAATTTACGTATTTGTGAAATAATGCGACAAATTTAGCAATATATTACAAACATTTGCTGCAAGTTGGTTTTATAATATTTTTAGTTTTCAAGGAATGGCAAGGGTACATACTGATTTTCTGTACCACTGTTCTTTCCATCAGGCCACAGATTGCCACTTCTTTTAAAGAACTAGTTCAACATTCACTGCATTGCTCTGAATGTACAATGGTTCTCTACTTCAGCAGATACTAAAGTAAAGTGGCTAAAAGTCTAATGGGTTTTAAGAGAATGCCGGGGTTTTCATGAAGCGATTAGGCATGAAGATTTTGAATTGTTTTGTAAACATTTTATAAGTTTTGAAAGATTATTAATAAAAGTCCTATACAATGAAACACTAACTTTCTACCTCCACAAAGAGAGAGAGAATAAAAACTAGGCTGGGGTCTGTCATTGACCCCCATTGATATGAGATTGTCAATGTAAATTAAATAATTTGTGGCAATGATGCGAGCTGTGTTGAACGGTTTTGTAGGACTTGTCAGTTACTATGGTGCAAACAGTAGCATGCCAGCCTGTTGTTGCCAAGCCCACGGGTTCGATCGATTAGTATTTCTGGACAAGTCAACTGCTATGATCATTAATCTTGCAAGTATAGTTTGTGTAAGGCAGGAGGTGACTAGTTCCTCCCCTATCTCTCGCTGGAACATGAGATCTGGTACCAACCTACACATCAGCTAGAGAGACTTCCCATCACCTTGTGTATCTTCTTTGCATGGCACTGCCCCCACCAGGGTAAGCTATAAGTTCTCAATATTTGCAATAGTGTAGTGTACCTAATTACATGTGTGTGTGTGAGGGGGGAGGAGGAGACAAGGATGAAGAAGGAAAAAATCATGCAAGGTCTGTGAGCCATATGTTAAGGCATTTCCCTGGTAGTGTTCAGAGGAACCATAGAAAACAACCTATCACAGTAGCAGGACCACTAGAATTCTCCTGACAGTGTTTGAATTCATTCTAGCAATTTAGCCAATGTCGAAAGTTCAACACCACTGGGAGGTTCAAAAGTTTCCTAGAGCTCCACTAACAGATTTGAGAGAATTTTACAACATAGACAAGTTTTTAATACATGTGAGTTGTTGGAGTCAGCTTTGATATAAACCTCTTAGGTAAATTATGTTGCAAAGCGTGCTCTGAGGCAGAGGAGAACCAAGGGCCCATTGCACGAAGGTTGAAAATACCTCTAAAGGCACTGTTTTGAAACAAACATTCTACACAAACTGAATATGATGATTAAATACAACTCAAAAAGGAAATGGGAAATTTTATTTCTTTGGCCATCACTGATTACTTGTTAAGAAAACATCAATAACCAAAAATATTAATTAATAGCAAATTAATGAATATTAAAAGAATGATGCCAAATCCTCTAATTTGAAAAGTCGATACAAACACACACACACACACACACAAAAAAAAAAACTCATTAAAAGTAATTTACTGACTCAGACCTTTGGAAAAATGTCAATATTCAAACCAACAAATTCGGACACAACCTAGAAACAGTGCAATAAAAAAAATCACACTGCATAGACATGTATAAATCCCATGTACAATATATTGAGGAATTTACTCAAGCAAAATAGTATAGGCAATACTTCTAAACTGCATATGCAAGCATTTGATACAAACCATAAATACTAACAAAGAATAAATGTGGAGCCACTGGCCCCAGTAAAGATTAATGATTACGAATTAACAACTACTTCCACTAAGTTCTTATAAAGTTAATATATTTTTATCAATGGCTCCACATTTTATACTTTGGAGTTGACTGTATGGTTTGAACCTAATGTTTGCATGCAGTTCTTGGAAGTACTGCAGATACTTTAAATCATCAGTTTCACAACAAGTCCCAAAATTCAAAATGTAGATATTCCTTTGAAAATGTGACAGCTATCAAATAAAAAAGGTTTTGGAATAATTATTTACAATAAATTATTATTTGTTGAAAATAAAACTAATTTTGCACTAGTTTCCAGCAAAAGTAGCAAGTAAATGGACTATATCAAGGTAATGAAAGTCAAAAGTAAAAAAAAAGCAACAAAATACTTGAAGCCAATAGGGTCATGAGAGAAGAGTGAAAGAATAGAAGGGAAAGCAGATGACATGGAGGAGGAGATGACATGAAAAGGGGGAGGGCAACAGGGAATGAAAGAATAAATAATAGAGTCACATTAGGGAAAAAATAAATATAGAAATTCACATATTTCCCTTGTTTTTCTCAAGAAGTTGCAGCTTTGAACTTCCCTACAACTACATTTTCTTTTGAGGGGGGATACTGATAAAATTTAATAACACAAATCCATATCACAAGATTTCATATAACTATGTCAGATACATACACAACATGAGAAAGACTGACACTACATTAACAAATTTTACTCATGAATTGTAATACTGTCAAATAATGATTTGAAATAAATAGAGCTGGAAATGGAGTCATGACCTGCCTTATTCCTAACAATGAAGGTAGAAAGATTTAATTTGTCATTGATGCCACGTATTAATTAGATCAATCCAAGCAGTAATAATCTAAAATTTCATTAATTGAGTACACATCAAAACATTTACCTTTCAAAAAATTACTAATTATAGAAGAAATAAACTAACCACAAATTCTTGAAAACTTGTAACATGATTGAGAAAAAAACAAACTTATTACAAAAAATTGCAAGTGTGAATAATGAGCCTTGAAATAAAATTAAAAGAATATGATCAAATTTAAAAAGACTTTGAGAGCAAACTCCACAAACCAAATAAAAGATTCTCTTATGTATCTGAGGACTTGATTCTATATTGCTAGCAGTAATGTTTGTAACTTAGTACTTCTTTACTCGTAAAAAGAAAATCTTAAATCTTGGTTATTATGCATCTCTTATTTTCAGGCCTAGTGGGGTCAGTTCATTATAGCATTTTATGCATAGCAATGAAAGACATAAAAGTACCTAATTCAAGATATGAATAACATAAATAACTAGTAAGATATACATATTTAAAGTCGAATATTAGCTGAAAGAATATAGCAGACCAATGTGGCAAATACATCAGCTAATTGGTCACTTTTTACACTTTGTATCTATCTGAAAAAATATAAAGCATTTTTGCATAACCATCAATTTATTACAAAACACATACACAAAAACTCTGAAACGAGTACAACAAAATACTTAAAAATCAAATGAAAAGTCTAAAAAAAAAATTCAAATTTTACAACAAATGAATGGAAACTACATAATTTCATGTCTTTCTACCAAGACCTGTGTCATTTTTTTCTTTCTTTCTTCCCATTCCGGCAGTAATATGTTTTGTCTTGCGGTGAGAAATAGAATCAATAATTAATTAAAGATTAAACTTGATCATGTGCAACAGAAAAGTTACTTTTAGAAATTTTCTTGAAAGTTTTGAACATCACATACTATTCATTTTAAATTGGTTTAACAATGATTAGGTTAGTGACAAATAAGACCGCAAAGATATAATAGAAAGTCTGGAAATGTTTTGATAAAGACCAATTTTAAGTCCTCTTGTTCTAACTTTTGCAATATAATGTAACTTCAAGGGGGCAGAAATTTTCTTCAAAAAATTTATAGTTCACTGGCAAATTACCAATCAAAATAAAGATGGCAGAACATATTTCAATACAAGAATATTCCTAGAAAACCTACTGCTAAGACTTTTACACTAGAACTACGGAAAGATATCTTTGGAAGCTAATTTGTATACTCTATTTGGGGAAACAAAGAGGGTCACAGGAAATACAAGGTAGGTGACACATTAATGCACACACATTTTTGCACTCTGATTATGCATTTCACTTGTACATTCTCAATTTAAAAGAATATCACAATCAAGAATCTCATGAAACCTTTATCAGTACTCCACAAAATTCACTTTACAAAATTGAATTGTACTTTGTCCTGCAGTTGTTCTATATAAAAGTTGATTATGGCCACATTATTGTTTGTTTTTTCTTCCTCCACTCCCCCCTTTTTTTTTTCTTTAAGAACCAAGGGAAATAACACATTCTGTATCCTAGGAACTCTGTTATGTACTATTTCATAATATCCTATTAACGTTCATTAATGTCGACTATTTGATCTACTTGATATGACAAACTTATTGGGGAAAGTAATTTATTCTGTGAAGTTAAGTTAGCATCGCCTTCTTTAAGAGATGAAAATGTTAACAAAAGAAATATTAAGAACAGGAAGGGGGATTGCAATATAGTAAAGGCACCTGCACTTCTTACATTTGAACATATGATAAAAAACTATTTAAGAATAAAAATTTATTAATGTGCATATCAAGACATTTGTGCGAAATCATGTTATATTTTCTTATTATAATTTACTGTTGCAATTTTCTTCTAACATTCTTCCCAGCCTGATTTTCTTAATACATTTATTAGCATGCACCCATCACAATATGATCAAATCATCTTTTAGTAACAAAATTATTTACAAATTATTTCTGGCAGTGTAAAGTTATACGCAAGTTCCATTTCTGAATGGAATTTCTTTTGTCGGGAACTACGAATGGAAATTTGTGCACATATTCCTGACCTGCAATATCTCCAATAATGAAGATAAAATGAGTTATAACATCTAAATATACAATCGAGAGGAGTTCAAAACATCAAAATTAATTTTTTTTATCTTTTTAAAGGGTTCATATGTGTGAATACTACCATTTTTTGTATCTTTCTTTCACATGTTAAAGATTACTGAAGATATCTTACTCATATAAACAACAAAATGGGCATTCCAAATTGTTGAATTTAAGTACCATTATCAAATTATTGTTTTGTAATTCTCTCTTTTTATATTAATAATGACTACATTTGGATATGAATTAAATATCTGAGAGATATTCAAAAGAAAAGTAGAAATAAAAAATGACAGCAATATTTTACACAATCTCTGGCATTAACATACTTATAATAACTTAAATTGTGTACTTCCCAAGTACAGTCTTATATGAATTCTTTACTCCAATAATAATTACATTTAGAGCAAATTTTGTTTATGTTAACACAAATATTTGAGAAAGAATTATCTTTATTAAGAACAAATAATCATATTCCACAAAAGTAAGACTTAAAAATATTCAGAGAGTACGAAATGAAAGACAAGGTCAAAAAAGGAAACAGAAACACATTGTCTAATAACTCGTATAAAGTTTGAGTTCAACCCTTTATTTTCCTTTCCCCACTCACATTTCTTTCAGAGCTATTGAAGTACCCTCTTAACAATAATGAATCTTAAATGCAGTGCGATATCATTTGCAACACTTACTGAAGAATAGTTAATCAAAAATAAGTTTCATATTGCAATATGCAAATGATATCTTAAAAGGATTGCAGTAATGGCTTTAAACGTTTACTGAAGTACGAAACTATAATTAAATTAAAGGAGAAGTTGATTGGAGATGTAGGAACAATTCTTTTACTGAATCCTCCAAGCAATTTTTCCCAGAATTCATAAAAAAAAATAAGATCCTGAGCTCTGCTTGTTAAAACTGAGATGTTTGTCTCCTAAAAATAATATTTTAAACCATGGTTTCAGAACCATTAACTTGGTATGCATTAATGAATGAGTAATACATTGCTTTCAAATTACTGAAGTCTAAATTTTCTGAAATTAATACTAACAATACATATATTCAGCATATTTCTTAACCATTTAGTTATTGCACTTTCAATTCTTCAACAAGTGAAAACTTACAATTATGTAGAAATATTCTTTCCTGCAAATCTTAAATTAATTGTTTAAATTACTTTCTATGTCATCCACAAAGAAATTATTAAAACAAAACGGCTTATTTCTGAAATAAGTATATATGAGCATTTGTAATCTGAGCTAAGATTAATAATTTCCTTCATTCCACTTCACCAATGAAAGCATAAATAAGCAGGGCTGTTTTCAAAATACATTGTGAGTGTACAGTATGGAAATATAACAAAATGTTCCTCACAAATTAGTAATGTACATTCAATGGTGAATAATGGATAGTAACATAAAATAGAAATATTTTCAGTATTAATTGTTCATAACTCATACAATTTCCACTTTAGTTCAAATACTTGCTTTTTATACCAAGTGTTACTAGTTATTAACCTTTTTACATATTGAAAATGAGACTCATACTCGGGCCAAAGAATATGCATATATTACACATATATAATGAATCATTTCCTAGGCTGGAGCTAAGTACATGTATGAGAGTTATCCCTTTGATCTATTCTCTTGGCACATTCATTATAGTTAAAAAATAAAAGACACAATTGAGAATTTTATGACTAAGTACTGATGCTCTCCTTCGGTTGGGAATTCCAAAGTAGTGCATCATTTCTGGTGGTACAAAAATAGAGTTCTTTTGTCATTCTGAACACATTACAATGCCTCACAAACAAGGTGCTTTAGAATAATCAGGCATAAAACTATTCAACATCGTCCGTTAGAAAAATCTTCAACCAACAACCAGGAATCATATTTGTGAATGTTTTTACTAATGGAAGATCATTTGGAAAAATGTGAGAATCTAAAGCATTGATTTGGTCCTAATAAGTTACCACATGCCAACAAAGAAGAAGATCTGTTCCAGTGTGGCCTGACCATATGGAAAGAAAAAAGAAAAAAAGAAAAGAAAAATCTTTTTGATGCAATGCTCACTAACTGGTCTGAAGAGCATAAAAAATATTCAATTATAAGGTTGATGAGCTACAGTGAGGGTGTTAATCTATAAAAGCTACAATATACATAAAACATAAAAAAGAAACAGTCTTCAATATAATGTTTAAACTTTATATTTGGCCATCTTACAACTATGAAATATCTTGTTTAGTTGCTGCAGATAGAATCTCACTAAATGATTGCTCGAGACAGTGTTTCAGCTCAGCATAACTCACAACCAGAATGCTCTGCCCATCACGTGACATCAAGCATATCTGAAAAAAGATCAAAAATTAAATGACATGAGTTTCAACAATATATTTTTACATCAATACAATAATTTCCTGATCATTTTCCGATAATTCTTAAACTGAATTCTATTCTAAAACATATTTTAATAATTTCAGACATTCAGAACTAGTTAGCTCAGTATATACCTCCATATCAATCCATTTTGAGAAAATGGAGGCCATTATCCTCTTTCATGCCAATTACAGTTAATGAGTTTGTAATTTCTGGATTACAGGGTTATTGCAATGTCTCTGCTTTCGAATTTATGTAGTAGTATCTCTATAGTAGTAGTTAGGTTGTATTTTTTGTTGATAAAATAACAATAGTTCTTTCTATTTTTGAGTTATTTTATTATAAATATAACTAGCAAGGCCTGTGCACTTTGTAATCTTACCCACTGCACTTTATAAATGATTGTATGGACATACATTCATTGTTCATTACAATATGTGTGCCTATTTTTATGCGAGACCAATTATTCTAATTTTGCTAAACATTTATAAACAGAGTGGCTTAAGACTTTACAATTAAGTTTCACAAAATAGCAAGTACTCATTTTAATTTTATACGGAATTTGAGTTTCTGTTTGTACCTGACCACTTCATGTGCTATGTGATGGGAGTACCTAAAAGAGCTAAATTCCAAATAATGTAATAGAAGATCCCAAATAATCCTGTTTTGGAGAATATGGCACAAGGAACGTAATACATAGACTAAGATGGAACTTTAAGATCTAAGGAACTTAAGCCCCTTTAGGACCTTAAAACTTGTTTTAAGGTCCTAAAATTCTACATTTTCAAGTTAAGAAAATTTGATAACAAAAAACTCATGTACTGCAGGCTGCATAGCAACCAAGTCCAATTTCACGGCATAAAACTTTAAATCCATATATTCCCATTGCCCCTGAAATGGAGAGGTCAACATACGTTTTCTTTACTTTGATTAAATATCTCTAATATGTACCATATTTTATAGGTAGTTTAGTTGCAGGACCTGACAACGTACTCTAAGCTTTTACATGCTTTTGTTTTTGTTGCTTTGTTGAATTTTTGTGAAGCTGGTGGAAACCCAACAGCAAGTTGTCTTTGAATATGTATGATTTCTTCTTCTTCTTTCTTTTTCTAAAATAAGTTAAAATGTACTTTTGTTTCCCAGTCTTCAAGCTATAAATTAGGGAAAGAGAAACTTTTTCTGTATAAAGTATGACTTCTATTAAACTTTTCTTTAATTTTAAAAGAGAAAAGAGTCCAGAACTAACTCTCCTTTTATACTCATTGGTGTAACTCATTCTGGGTCATAATTAGATCCTCAAAAGAAACTGGCAATTTGTTTTACAGATCTTTGCCAAAGAGAGTAAGAAGTACCCCACTGCTACTAAATCCTCTCCCAGGAAAAAAAATAATGTTCAATGTTTGTCCACTGATTCTAAAAAAACTACTGTTGTAAATTAATGTGTGTTTCTTTTATAGATGTATGTATTATTAAAAAGTAATATTTCTTTAATTTTTCATGTAATTCCAGAAATTATTGAATAAACTCTTGATTAATTTGATTAAGAATGTTTTAAAACAATTCCTACGGCTACCTAAATGGGTCATAATAATTGAGGCAAAAAGTAAATCATCTAGGTACAGAATAGTTTACTGATTTTAAGGCAATTATTTGTTGTGTATACTACATACCAAATACACTTTGAGGTGTTTGGGGGTCGCCTAGGAATTTGTCTTATTGGGTTAAATTTTGCACAGATCATTTTCTCGTCGACAGACATTTTGCCATCAATTGATTTTTCGGTATAAATGACCCACAAAACACAATTCTGGTTAAGGGGGCATCATAGATATGTTAAATAATAAACATATGTTATTAAAATTAAATTATTTTTGTAGTGTATACATGGCACTATATAACATTATTTTTTAAATATTACATAATTCTGACATAAATATTTAAACCAATTTGTAAAATAAAAGAAGGTAAGAAACAAACTTAAGTTGTTGTTTTTTTTTGACTTGTTTTTTTGAACTTTTTTTTTTTGAGAGGGGGTGCATTTCTGCCTCCCCGGATTCACGATAACAATACTTTCTCTTCTTACGAAATAACTGCGAGAAAGGCAATAAAGACCACTGTGTTTTGCTGTTTTTACTTTTAACTTTCATTCACTTATAAATGTAAAACACCCTGGAACAAATATAATTCATAATACGTCAATACTATTTTAAGTACATTACATCATAGATTTAATTGAAATCTTAATTTTTTACTCAATATTCTTCGTAGACAAGGCAGTTTAACGATATTACCACGTACAAAATAATAAAAAGCCGATCCGGTGGCCAATATCGCAAAGGCAGCAGTGCCTTAGCGATCTCAGACCGAAGGGTCGCGGATTCGAGTCCCGCCTCGGGCATGGTTGTATTGTGTTCGTCCTTTCACACCCCTGTCGTCATCATATCGTGTCATCGTCATAGTTACCATACCGTTACAAGCAACAGTGGTCACTAATGACCTAGGAGTGCGACCTTAAATAACAAACACGATTATTAAAAAAACGCAGGTTATCAGAAGCCCTAAACAACAAACCTCGGAATCCTAGTAGTCCTTTGAACTAGGTAAATGTGTATTTTATAACTTGGAATGTGCAATGCATAGCAACAAAGGAATCTGAAGTGTTTAAAGAATTAAATTAAATTTAGATGTTGCTGCCCTATCTGAAACTAAAAAGAAAGGGAAGGATTGGAAGATATTCAAAATTACGTTTAGTACATATTCAGCGGAATCAATACAGAAAACAGAGTAAAGGAAGTAGTATCCATTGTCATACGTAAATCTTTAAAACAGCACATAAAAAATGGGATGGTATGAATGAAAATCTACTACGAGTTGACCTATCTGACCTAGATGTAACCATAATCGCCCACGGACAGCACAACTGATACAGAAAAAATAGAATTTCTTACCAGCTTGACGAACATTCTGAATGAAATTGGAAACGGGAAAGATAAATATTTAATGAGCAAATTTACTGGAAAAGTGAAAGGCAATATGCAAGAAATGTAGTAGGGACATTTGGAGACGATGCAAAGAAGTGAAATGGGGAAAAGACTGATATATGCGAGCAATGTGAATTGAAGATATAGCATTTTTTTTCAGCACAAAACTATTCATAAATACAGTTGGCCTCAACCATCAAGGAGATTATACTCCATAATGGATTACATCATTGGTAAACGGGTATAGGTGCAGAATGCGGTCTGACAAGTTCCTTCTGCAAGCCAAATGTTCACCTCTTCCAAAATAAAAAAGTAAAAGATCAAACAAGAGCGGGGGAGACTCTGGAAGAAAAGCCACATACAGCAAGAACAAAGTGAGTTTACTAGAAGACCCATCAATTCTACTCCTGTATAAGTTCGGGCTGAGTGGGAAATTGCAAAATGTGAACGAGCCCTATCCGCAAACAATGTACAGAGAGGTAACGAAATACATACACAAAGCGGCATACGAAATTTGGGGTGTAACTGAAAGGAAGCAGCAAAGAGCTGGGACGTGTTGGTGGAGTGTCGAAGTTGCTGAAAGGAGAAGAAAAATGCCTATCAAAAGTGTCTGAAGACCTGTGATCTAAATAGAAAAACTTATACACAAATACGTAGAGGAGTCAAAAGATTCTACAACTAAAAATTATATGTAGGACTTAAAGTGTTAAAAATTAGTACTTGTAATATCATTGAAGGTTCAAGATCATGGAAGGCGTGGAGAGTATTGAGAACAAATGAAAAGAGATATGGATATTTGCAGCTTATAAGCCTTGACATGTGTTAAATATTATGAAGAACTTCCGCAGGAACGCCTATAGAATACCAGCTTTATATTAGTAGAAGAGTAGATCTGACAATCGTGGAGAAGATATATCAGCAATAGTAGTTGAGAAAGTGGTGAAACGTTTTAAAAGTGGTAAAGCTTCCACACCCGACGGGGTAAATACAGAACAAATAAAACCAGCCCCATCCGTATTAATCGAACAGCTTTTGGAATAATTTAAAGTGTGCCTCATGGGTCGTGGAATACCAGAAGCTTTTAGGATTACATCGCATAGCACTTAAGGGTTACATCGCCAACATATTTAAAAAAGGAAATTAGGAATGCTCTAATTACTGTGGTATAGCCGTCCTGAGTTCCCTTGGTAAAGAACACGGTAAAATTATTAAAAGTAGTCTTGAAAATGAAATAAATGAAATGTAAGAACAATGTGGTTTTCCAGCTGGTAGATCCTGCAAAGATAATATATTTACCATTCAACAAGTTATGGTTAGGCGGCTAGTGCATAACCTTGAGACATAGTCTATATTGACTTACAAAAGGCATCCGACAGTGTCCCCCTTTCAGAATTGTGCATGGCCATAGAAAATGAAATTATTAATAGTATATACTATATTAAGGCGATTGGAGAGTTATACTCGGATAGTATCGCATATGTCAAGTTAGGAAATTACCAGGGATTGGAAAAGTTTCTGACAAAAGTAATTGGGCTCCATTACAGTTCCATGTCAAGTATTTTACTCACAAATTACATTTTCAGAATAAAATAAGTAAAATTACAATTACAGGTAGAGATGTGTTCTTGAACGCACGAGTTCAAACGAACTTTTTTTTTTAAAAAAAGTGCTGCGTCCTTACTGACACAAAGCGCCTACAAACTCCTAGGAGACCGTTGATCGCTTGCTAGGAGTAATCCTCCGTTAACATTTTTATTTGGAGTTATCCTCCTTTAATTTTGTTGTCTGCTGTCCAGTCTCGTCGCAGTTAGTCAAGAGGACCGCCAGGTAGCATCTCTGCGTACGCGCCTCTCTTACGCGCTCCTGCGTTACTGCCCAGCGGCCAGAATTGGGAAAGAATTAGGAAAGTTAGTGTTTAGGACACTTCACAGAGGTTGGACTAGCGCTTGCGAAGCAGCCAAACTCGTTTTGTCGGAACAAATTTCACATGA